CCCTGAGCACACCTGCCAATCCATCACTAATCGTCAGCTGTGAGATCTGATACTCTTCTTTGGCATCAAACTTAAGTATCACAGAAGGAAACTACTCCAACTGGTGATCTTTGCACTGTACTTAACAACATTGGGAAGTAATCACGGCTAATTGTTATGGCTGTAATTTCAAACATGACAGCTGGCAGAGAATCAAAGGTCTCAGTCACATTTGCTGAATGTCTCCCTAATACGTTCCACCAGACAGTTTATGGGAGCACCCTCCAAAATCTTGCCCTTTGACTACTTGCATTTCTCCAGTACTCAGGTAGTTGCTGCCAAAGCTGTTCTCCTCTACTGTAGTTATTTTCACAGTGTAATATCTTGGAGGCCCAGCTGGCAAATGTTGCCTTCACGCAGGCTGGATTAGATCTATGTAGAGAAGGGTTGACAGTATAAAGATTTTAGGAGCATCTAGAGTCAGTGAATAAACACCAGCTATAAAAAAAAAGAACAGGTGCCATCTGCTCCCACTCAAATAACTCCTGTTGACTTCAATGGGAGTGTGATGATTTTCACAGCCAGTATATTTGGTTTGGAAATACTTTCTTTAGTATTAACAATAACACAAAATGACGACCCCCAGAAGTCTAAGGAGGTTAAGAGAACTAAACACTGATGATGGATCATGGATACATTCCCATGAAAGCAGAGTAGATCAGTTGGCATTTAAGAACTGTTTGTATATCCCAGCAGTAGGTGCCTGAGCTAAGATGAGGGAGGTAGCATTTTCTAAATGGCTTTGGTGCTATGGAATCAGTTGTTCTCATCACGGAATCCAGTGTGGAGAAAGTGCTACTAAGGCAATTGCTTCTAACAGAAACCCATGTGCCAGGGGTGTGTGTAAACAGTTGTGCCTCTCCTTTCCAAAGGTGTCGCCCTTGGGAAATGCAGCACTCCAAGAAAGACTGCTTTTTCTTCCTGGGTTGCCATCTTCCCTGGAAATAAGCAGGTAACCTCATCCTGTAAGGCTCTCCCTCCAGCAGGAGCACATAGCCAACTTCAGAAAGCCCTGTACCACCTCTGAAAAGGACAAACACTGAAGCAAGGAAAACAATTCTGATTGGGCAGTGCATGTCAGAAGATCTGCCTTCTATGACACCAAAGTCAGAAAAGAGCAAAATGCTTGACCAGACTTCTAATGTCTGGGTAGATGAAGGACAACACCATGAAATAAAACCACTGGAAGCTCCAGGACAGTGGATAAAATCTGACCAAAGGGGACCATGAAGGAGTGCTAGTTTGTTTTGCAAGGACTGATGCAGTTAACATTGGCACTTGAACTGGAATTGCCCTGGAAGATGTGAAATTGCTGCTCATTTTGTTAGCAAAGCTATGGAACCATGTAGTCACTGCCATATATCATATCCTATTCTTTTCTGATTTAGCACATTTTATGATTCAACAGGGCTGTGACCTTGATTGTAGAAGCCAAGCTGAGAACCAGGTGCGGCTAGGGGTTCAACATACCACTGAAGAATTTCACACAGAGACTTTAGCCATGATAGCTCTTCCAGCTTCTTTGGTCTGTGCACTACATGAGCTCAGGTTGCCTCTACACTTGCCCAACTGCATTCAGGGCACAGGCACCTGATCAGGTTATGGTGCCTGAATCATCATTTCACAGCTCCCTGGTCCCAGGGAAGCTGCTGTAGCTGTGTCTGCACTCTCAGTGCCTGAGGCATGAGTGACGTAATTCAACAGCAGAAGAGGCTGAAGACAAGGCTTAGGCACTTCATCATGTGTCTGAACCTTTTACACTAAAACCTGCATAAAGGCAGGTAACATATACCTCCCTTCAGGCAGTCTTGTCGATGCTGATACTCTAAAGTCAATGGATTGTACGTGAGGGCAGAAGAGGTTAAACTGGTGTAACCAACCCAGCACAATAAGAGCACTCACAGGAGAATTCAGAAAGATGCATTTTCCTTTAGTTAAGGTGTCATCTAGGAGATCAGACTAACTGATCTAATGACCTTTTCTTACAGTCCATGACTATTACATGAATATCCATCTCTAGTTCTGCCTTTTATCTCTCCAGCCTACAAAACACACTTTGCCTGCTTGCTGGGCTGGTGCAAGCAAACCTGATGGCCTCTACTGACTGTGGCTGAACTGTAGTCAACCCCCAGAGTTGCCTAAAACTCCTGAGTTAAAGCTTAAAAGCTACCTCTTATGGAGATAGCAAAGCTCTTTTCTCTGGCTTATTACATTGCCTTATATCTCTACTGCCATTCCTTCCTTCCAGACTCAGTCCCAGGCATCAGTATTAAAGGATGCTTAAAGTAAAAGGGTTTGTATTTCAGAATGACACAACATACAGGACTGGGGCAGTCTGAATTTGTGATTGTTTTCACAGGCTTAGGAGCATCTGTAATGAACAAGATGCTGAAAGGAAAACACATCAACAATAAGCGCTTGAGATTTATGTTTTGGTTTTTTTTTTTTTTTACTGGAGAAAATGAGGAAGAAAGGAAAAACTCTGGATATTTACATCTCACCTGGCTTTATTCAGCATCTTCGCATGACTGTAAAGAGCAAAGCACAGTTCAGTCCCATGTTGGACCAACTAGGCTGGGCTTTGCCAGTGAAATTGAAAAAGACTAGAAGACTTCAAGATAAATAAGACAGCAGGAAAAAGTAATGAAGGAATTAAACTGACCTTCTATAGAAATGGGTGAGACAGGGTAAACAGGGAGAGATCTTGTTTTCCTTTCATCCTGGAAAGAATAACATTTCTTCCTTTCTAGTTCATCACAGTTGACTGATTTGGAAACAAATCTGTTTTCTCTGGAAAGATTTATTTGCCCAACAGACTTTTTTTTTCTTTTTTTTTTTCCTTCTTTTTTTGGCAAAAAGCAATAGGTTGAAAGAACAAGGCTTGTCTTGTTAGCAGGTTTAAAGGGCTCCGTAATTAACTGGTACATTTGGAGGCTTAGCATGCAGGATACTTGCTGCAACCTACTTTATTGCAGTGTCACAAGGAAGTGCTGTGAAATGGGCAAGAGTTTTAAAGAACGCTGTTTATTTCTCAGGCAGTATCAGATAGCAGGATTATTCAGTTATGAGGTTAAGCCAGAGCATTTGCTGAGGTAAGGACACTCTGGTGTGACCTATGAGAATGCACTTTCATCTGTGACATGCTTTCTCTCTCCCTCCCTTCCTTTCCCTCTTTCTGTCTTTTTTAAGCTGAAAACAAAGCGTCGCTTATTTAGTCTGGGGACAGCATGCAGTTTTTCACATCAGTCCTTTGCAATACATAGTAGGTGCCTTCAAAACACAAACTGACATCCTGTGACTTGGGGAAGTCAGTTGCAAGGGTCATTTATCCCTGAAGTCATCTCCTTTCGGTGCATGATCTATAATAATGTTATTCTCAGCCAAACCTCTCTTACTTCCTTACCCTTTTTCCTCCTTTTTTGTTTTGTTTTTAATTTGGTATGATACTGTAGGCAATTGCTGGCTTGGAGCAAAACTTTAAAATGTTGGTGACTCAAAATAGGACTGTAATTCCACACTGCAGTGATTTAAGTCCTGGTGACTTGACCTTGTGAAGTCCTAAAGATCTGCAGCTTACAGTAACTGTAAATAATGTGGAGAATTGCTCAGGGCTCCTGGAATACAGCTACTGTTAGCCCGTTCCTTGAATGTGGAAGCCAAAATAGAGGCATCCCTATTTGGAAATGCAAAGCTAGCAAGGCTCTTCAAGTGCCAAACAGACCCCTGTGGGAGGGAGGACAGTCTCTTCAAACATGTTTCTGGAGATGCAGAAGATAAACATTTATCTTTCAAAATGATGCCTCTCATGTCTCAAGGGCAACCTAAACACTGAAATCTCTTCTGACTCCTACATAAGGCCAGATTTGCCACTGCTAACAATACTGAGAAGTATTTGCCAATTTGGCAATTAACTTCTCCATTCTTGGGTGCACTGAACATTATATCCAACTTTGGGTACATAAAACATTTCCTAACTTTGTACAGAACCCTTCAAATTGAGGGCAAGATTTAGCCCTAAATAACAGTGAATATTTATTGCTATATTCCTTTTGTTTTTTTCCCCACCAAATACTATCTACCTTTAGACTCTGACCTGCTTTTGTCAAGTATTAACAAGCATCTTTGTGTAGGAAAACATCACAAGCATCTGGGTGTATGGGTGTATATGGCACCAGGATTGCACAGTACTTGGATCTGAATGAGATCTGTAAGAAAACTCGATTCTCCTTCTCATTTAAATGCCAGGCCATCAAGTTTTAGTTTAATCCAGAACCCAAGGGAACAACCTGGGAGGAAAATTGTGACTTGCTGAATCACTGCCTCTTCCTGACCTCCCTGCTGCCTTGGAGAAGCACAGAGGTATCTGCAGCAGTTCAGTTTCTCTAACAGCATCTTTTTGTGGTTGCATCAGTGCTAACGCTTTAAGACCACAGTGTTGTCTTTTCCCCAGCTCCTCATGTGAGACCAGTGTCAGAAATGCCCTGTCTGCTGCCACTGGCACAGGAGACCCAGGCATGCAACTCAGCGAGCAAGGGAGGAAGAGAAGGCTGCAAACCAGTATGATTTACATTCACGGTCTCCTCCTTATGAAGAAGAGAAGTGCAGAGGGAAAGGATTATATTGAAAAGATCAAAGTGGATAGAGAGGAATGGGTTAACAGGCATGCCTTTCAAAAGAAATAATTCTCCTGACATCTCAAGGGATGGGTGAAGGGCATATTGCCTTGTCAGTTAAATGCAGCCATTAGTTTCAAGCCCATACTAATTAGCCAGCTTACAAAAACATGCTGCTCAGCATTTCTAAATGCAGACTACAGCCTCTGCCACTCCTCAGCATGGATATATTTGTCCACATCCTCTCAATGTGACACGCTGGTACAGAGGTGGTTTGGTTAGTAGTTAAAAGAGAACCTAGGATTAAATGAGGCCTCATGCAGTATTTTTCTCACTTGCTACATCCAGGTCAGCCCGGGACAAGCCACTAACTGAATAAGGAGTGGGAAGCCTGCTGTGTATTGGGATCCCACTTGCACACAGAGGAAACTGTAGCACTGCCAAGACCCAAGTCACTTCCTGGTGACTGCACTGGCTCACACCTGCCTAAGCAAAAGTCATGGTCCCTAATCTCCACACAACTTGACTGCAGCGGAGTGGAGGAGGGCAAAGCTTGCTTTTGCCCTGTACTGAAAAAAACATGTGTGGTATTGCCCCAAGGGCCTGGGAAAATAACCCACAGTGCAAAGCGGATGAGAGAAGGAGCCCACTTAGCTCCAGATGGCTTTTGAAAGTATTCATTTGCCCTCCTGGTCCTTCACTTCCCACATGGTAATTCAGGGCTGCTAAACCATCACTAAATTGAAGGTGGCCTGGAAGTCTTGAGTCACTTGTATTGCTTGGGTACAGCAGTGATACGTGACTGGGGGTGTCTATACATGTATAGTTTCAGCTTGATAGCAGTATCTCAATTAAAGTGTTTAGCTACACCCATTTCTTCCCCAGAAAGCAGATAGTAAAACTGTCTGTACAGAAATGCATAAAGATGTGACTCCAGAGTCATTATCTGCTGCAGAGGAGTTCAGAGGCCAGATATTGCTTCAGCCATGGAGTTTTTCCATGGAGAGTGGGGGCTATAGCTGTGGACTACTGCTAGGAGAGCAGCAGGGCTCTCTTCTACCCTGACTACACCACATCCTTTGGCTGAGTGGGCACACCTGGCCTTCATCCAGCAAAGAGTCCAACCCTTGCTCTGCCATGTGCCTTTGGCACGCAAGTTTTTTAGGACAGAGAATATGTCTTATTGCCTGCTCAGGTGTTTTGTTAGTTTTTGGTTTTGCTTTTTTTACCACCCCAAACACAGGTATTGGGTGGTTTGAGCTCAGAAATCTCCCACAAATATACATGGAGCCCAATGGCAGGAGATGGGATTTGCATGCGAATGGAAGTCATATTAGGGAAAGGAGCAGGAGATATTTGCAATGCACTTCTCTTGGTCCATCCCTATGTTTGGGGCTTTTCCAGTATCCCCTGGTCAATCTGTTGTTTGCCTAATTTTTAATAGTAGGGCTGTCTGGGCATTGATTTTACATGTTGACACAAAGGGCCTCCCTCTGTCAGAAAAAAACCTAGTAGTTGCTGGTGTAGTGTCAGTACCTTTGTGTTGGAGCAGGAGGTTGGAGACAGGTTCCTCACTGGTTTGGGGCACTCTCTGAGTGACAAGGCTTCCTGGGGCCATGTCCTACTGCTAACAGACTGCAGCAAATGGGATGAGAATCAAACTTTATATCCTGAAGGTTATTCACCTTACGCATCTTCTGCCTGAAAACCTTCACCATGCCTGGGGCAAGGGTGCATCTGCTCTGCCAGGCCATTCCCCAGTTCAGAGCTGCTGACCTTCCACGTGTCTAGCACGCACGCACATACCAGAGTGCCATCTGCAGCCCCAGGCTCAGTTAATGTAGGCTTTCTCTTGATCCTGATCTTTATTCTGGGATATAGAATTGGCTACAGAGCCCACAGCATCTCCCACAGTGCAGCCAGGATACATGCAGCCATTGTTGCTTGCTCCTGAGGTGCTGTGCTCAGTCATGGGTGCACCTCCCAGGATGGCAAGCTGGGCTTCCTGGCAGGGCTTTCCTGCCATGCCCCTTGACACCATCTGGCTCTTTTGGAGACAGAGCATGCTGCTCTCCCCAGTTTTCTTTTGCCAGTCTGTGTAAGCATGGTTGTAAAGGGCAAATCCCTGGGGGATGTAAAGCAGAACCATCTGACTTACTGTCTCATGAATGTAATCCATAACTTTACGCCAGAAGTTTACAATCCCTTTTCGTGTATAAAAAGTTTCCTGTCATGGATTTACATCTACTCCATTGCTCTGATTTGCATGGAACCACTTGGTGTAATCTCTTCGGAGATAAATAAGTTAAATGATGCCATTATTTTCTGGATATTTACAGATGTCATCCTGCTGTGCTCCCGTGCCTGGATCCAAGATGGCCTGAATCTTTGATTTCCATTTCTGAAAGCTCTGGAGGAGAGAATGAAGATGTCAGTGTAGGAAGGGCAGGAGAGCAGGCAACACGATCAAGCGCTGTCTTCATACACAAGCATGAGTGATCTGGACAAGCAGCAGATGACAGGACACCCCGCCTATTTCCTTTGCCAGGCAAGTGTTTAGTCTAGGCTCCTGCCCCAGGATGCAGAAGGATGGGAAAGGAAGATGCCATGGTGCTCAGATGGGCACAAAGAGCAAGACCTGGACCCCAGCCACAGGGTGGTAAATATTCACTGTGAAAAGTCTCCTGAGCATAGCTATGGTCCTGAAAGCTTAGTAAGTAGAGTGCTCCATCAGTGGTTAGCTGAATGGCCTAGGAGATGGCCTAGGAGCAGAAGGGTCATTCAGAGAGATCATCTTTTTGAGGGGTGCTGGAAAAGGGAGCATTTCTGGTTCTGTGACCAAAGTGCCATGCTACAAGGAATGCCTTGAGACCAGATGTCTTCATTACAAGATATCAATAAAAGTAGTTTGAAAACAGATCTGATTTGCTACAGGAGCATAAGAAACAGATACCTTGATCTCTCTTTAAGAGTAAATGTATGTATAAGCTCCTGATACAAGTTCCTGGAATAAACTATTGGCAACCTTTTGTTGTTTCTCATTTAAATGCAGCTACAGGTAAATAAGTGCCATAAATATATAAAAGAGAAACCAGTGGGACAAGGTGAAAAACAGTAAATCATTGTAATGAGGTAAAGTATGACATCCTTGCTGTGAACAGTAAAGGAAAGGAAAGGAAGGGGAGGGGAGGGAAAAGAAGTCAGCTGCCAAAGCCACCTAACCTAGCTGAGATGCCAAAGGTAGGAGCTTCCATATTACCTATAATGCAAAGAAGTGAGAGAGGAACATCTGAACAGCATATCAGAGATCTGAATCACCCCCTGGAGAATCACTGAAGGAAAGGGCCTTGCTCTGAGGGAGGTGGATGTATGTGTCTAAATCCTACTTGGCAATGTTGCTTTGTGTCTGGAAATCACACAGCTGGATCTGCAGAGAAGGCAATGGGCATTGTAGTGATCAGGGTTGCGACTATTGTGCAGGTTTTCCTTCTGTGTGCAAATCCCTCACCAGGTGGTCAGTGTGATCTGTGATGCCTGGGCCAGCAAGGTGAAACCTGGCTTGACACCTTCCTTTGGACACCTGGAAGCTGCTCAAGTGGTGTGAGGATGAAAATACTGCCTCAGTATCGCCGATTTGCCTTCTACTGAACAGATGAAGGTTTACTGAGGTTGATAGGAGTACTTGAGGGGGCTGAGGACACGCTGAATATAAAATATTAAATATTAAACTGCATTAATTGTAAAAATGGGCATTTTTAAGAAAATAGAGACAACATTTGCTACTTTCCTAACAACTGATTGGTGAAATGTCTCATTGTCTCTTGGGGAGCACAAGTTTAAATTTATGGGATCTCTGCAGCTCTGTATTCCATTTTCCTTCAGAGACCCAAAGCAAGCTCGGAGGTCACTATGTTGGATACCATAGAAAAGTAGAAGCTCTTTAACACTGCAGAAGCTAGTAGTCTAAACAACCAGAATTCAATAAAGTCTGTCGCCTTATTTCACAGATGGGGGCTTTAGTTGCAGAGAGATTTTAAGTGACATGTCAGAGGCACAAGCAATCACAGACCCAGGGTTCAAGGAAAAAGATAGGGTCCTACTGTATAGCAATATGAACCAGTTGGGCACACATGGATGTGTGTATTTGAAAACTGGAATGTTGTGAACTCCAAGAATGAAAAAACCTTAATAAACACCATCTTGAGTTTTCTGGAGCAAAAAGATCCTGCTATTGCTTCTGTGTTGCTGGAGAGATTAGTGGGGTATTTATTACCATTTACATTCATGCTCTGGCTTCAGTGTCCTGGTTTATAATGCCAAACCTGGGTAGTTTCATTGCTCCATGTCAGCCAGGAGGAAAGGGACGCAGGACAGTAACAGGCATAAGCAGTTAGAGTGGTTACATGCACGTAAGTAACAGTCTGGGAAATGGCGAGAGCTGCTCTAGCCAGTTAGAAGTATTAGACCAACCCTCTATTTAAGCTATAGAGAAGGTTTGTAAGCTGTCCAGGTTTTCAGGCTTTGGGGTTGGGTTTTCCTCCCCTCCTTCACATTAAGAGCTTGCTAGGAACTAGACAGCCACAAACTTACAGAAATGCTTTTCATCATCTTCCTGTGAATAGAGAGTATTTGGCAAACAACAGGAGCAAATCCAGAAAGCTGGCTTTCAGCTCCTGTATATCTAAGCCCCCATTTACATCCCAGCTCAGTGGGAAAGACCTTTCCCATTTCAAGCCAAACCGAGACTTGTGTGCCAGAGCTGCGAGCAGCATGAGGTAGGAAGTAGCACCATCAGATCAGAAAGATGTTTGCCTGTGCTGTGCCGGCAGCGTGGGACATGGTGGGATTGCAGCTGCAAGGGGTGCCACGGGAAAAGGGATGTTTCCCAACCTCCTCTGCAAAGCCTTGGGAGCGGATGTATCCCCTTCCTCCCCCGTGGTGCTGTTTAACAAATGAAGGAGCTGGGGCTGGTTTAGCTTCTCTTTCTGCCAGCTGCACTGTCTCTGGGGTGTGAGGGTTGCCAGCAGTTTAACAGTGACAGTTCCCATGCCCTTGGAGAATGGGCAGCCAAAAGGAGCATGAGGCATGGGTCAGGACATGGGATTCTTCCCCTGTACTCGGCACTGGTGGGACCACACCTCAAATAGTGTGTTCATTTCTGGACACCTCGCTGCAAGAAAGACAATGAGGTGCTGGAGTGCATCCAAAGAAGAGTAATGAAGCTGGTGAAGGCCTAGAGGACAAGTCTGATGAGGAACGGCTGAGGGATCTGGGGACTGGGAACTTAGTCTAGAGAAAAGGGGGCTGAGGAGGCTCTCTACCACTGCCTGAAAGGAGGTTGTAGTGAGGTGGGGATTGTCTCTTCTCCCAGGTAACAAGTGATAGGACAAGAGGAAATGGAAAAAAGAAAAGTTGGGGATGTTTAGATTGGATGTTAGAAAAAAATTCTTTACCAAAAGGACTATCAAGCATTGGAACAGGCTGCCCAAGGAAGTGATTGGGTCACCATCCCTGGAGGTATTTAAAAGACA